GGCCTAGGTAATAGACCCTCCGAACTGGCCCTTCTGCCTCCAGCCTCCTTATCTCGGTTCCACAAGTCTGTCAACTTACTCCTCCGAAAATGCTATTTGCATCCTATCACTCTAGACCTCAAGTCTTCAGTGAGTTCTTATTTGTATTTAAAAAACAACGCAAACTCTTTAGGCTAATGCCATGCTAATTCTAGACTCCCTAGATTCTTGTCTTAACGGTCTTCTATGAATTCTCCAACCAAACTGACCGGCCATTGTCCTCCAGAAACTCAACCAGGGGGTCCTGCCTCGATGCCGTGTCTCGTGGGAGCCCCTCCCTGAAGGGTCTTCTCAACTAGTGGCTCCATCCGTGACCTTCCTCCTCACAGGAAGATACGTATCTAATCTAAGCTTCTTGGGGAGGTAGGCAGAGCATTAAGTTCTTGTGTTTCCCATTGCGTGGCATGGTGCTATTCACACAAAGGCTCAGGAAAAATAATTAAAGGCATGAATAGAAAAGTGAATATGAATAGGGGCACCTGGGTGGCTCGGTCGGTTAAGCGTCCAACTCCATTCAGCTCAGGTCATGATGTCACCACTCGAGAGTCTAAGCCCTGCATTGGGCTCTGTGCTGACAGCCCGCAGCTCCAAGCCTGGGGTTTGCTTCAGATTCTGTCTCTGTCTCTGCCCCCTCCGCTCATGTTCTCTCCTCTCTCTCTCTCTCTCTCTCTCAAATAGAAATAAAAAAAAAAAAATTAAAAAAAAGAAGAGTGGATAAATAAAAGAGGAGCTAAATAAAATCCAAAGTTGTAATGATTTTTGGAAACTAGATGTATTCACTGGGGGGCTTTTAACCTGCACTCAGACTTCCTCACGCAATAAAGAAATAGGCTGTTTCTTATTATGACACATAACCGGAAGTGCAGCGGGAGGGACAGTATCAGGGCTGGTTGATAAGTGACTCAGCACAGCCACCAGCAATGCAAGCCTTTCCTATTCTCCCTGTCCCACACCCACCCGGCCGGCTTCATCCTAAGCGGGTGGCCCCACGGCTGTGAGAGCGGCTGCCAGCCGCGACGGGGGTCATGGGTGTTTTTGTTCGAACCTGGTGGGAGATAGCACACTTCCCTACACGCATCCCAGGGAAGTGCCCTGCGGATGACAGCAGCTTGGACTGCAATTAGGGGTGAAGTCAGACCACTTAAGACACGTAGACTTCCCTGGACGGTTTTCTAACGAGACCAGACAGAGACACCCTTGCTAACAAGTTGCGCCATCTGGCATGGATGACCTCATCGAATCACCACATGTGAGGTAGGCACGATTGCTCCCATTTCACTGAAGAGGAAACTGAGACACAGCAATGTCTCGGAACTTGTTCGGCTCACGCAGGTTTCAAGCAATAGAGCCAAGATTTAAAACGTGGGTTCCTGGGGCGCCTGGGTGGCGCAGTCGGTTGAGCGTCCGACTTCAGTCAGGTCACGATCTCGCCGTCCGTGAGTTCAAGCCCTGCGTCAGGCTCTGGGCTGATGGCTCGGAGCCTGGAGCCTGTTTCCGATTCTGTGTCTCCCTCTCTCTCTGCCCCTCCCCCGTTCATGCTCTGTCTCTCTCTGTCCCCAAAATAAATAAACGTTGAAAAAAAAAAAATTTAAAACGTGGGTTCCTAATAACTTCATGGCTTACAAGATGACCTAACTGGGAGGCTGTAGAAAAGTGCTACTCTCCTGTTTACCAAAGTCAAGAGCCAAGAATTCTTGCCATTAATCATTCCTTAAAGGAGAAATCAGCACCACCCCACCCACTCCACCCTCTAATAAGCAAAAACATAAAAGTGTTATTTGGGAACACTTACTTATTATCACTTCACATGCCTGAAATTAGGTAATCAGATTAAAAATTAATCATGAAAATGAACAAATGGGGACTCCAATAAAAGGTAAATAGGTGCCAGGCACTCTCTTAAGCACATGTCATGTACTTTATCATTAAATAGTCACAAAAACCCAGTGAGGTCATACTATTTCCAATTTACAGATTGAGAAAGTGAAGCCCAGGGAGGTTACATAACTTGCCTAAGGTTAACTAGCCAACACCTGGCAGAACTAAAATGTAAACCCTTCCTCTTAAAACCTAGTCCAAATCCCCTCCATACATTAATAATTCTTCTATCTGTTATCTCTATCACAAACCTGATCGGGTTCCAAGCAAATTAGGAATGAGTTTCTTTTCCTGGGACAGTTTCCCATCTGTCCCAGGAAAAGAAGAAGGAGACGCCAGGTATGGCCTCTGGAAACCAGGCAATTTTTTTGAAACACCTGCTTGGACCTCCAAAGCATGCCCTCTCAAGGTGGGAGACATCACCCCTAATGGGGCACAAATTAATTCTCGGGGGCCAAAAACCACAGATATTATCACGGTTTGTGGCTTTCCAAAGGTGAATGCTACCCATCAAAAGCTTACTTCTCAGTATTTCATTTCCTTCAATAGGCAGAACTTTAAATTTTTTTTTTCTTTTCAACGTTTTTTTTATTTATTTTTGGGACAGAGAGAGACAGAGCATGAACGGGGGAGGGGCAGAGAGAGAGGGAGACACAGAATCGGAAACAGGCTCCAGGCTCCGAGCCATCAGCCCAGAGCCTGACGCGGGGCTCGAACTCACGGACCGCGAGATTGTGACCTGGCTGAAGTCGGACGCTTAACCGACTGCGCCACCCAGGCGCCCCAATAGGCAGAACTTTAATCGAAGCTAATTTTTCTCCTAAGGGAGGTGATCATGAAAAAAGTGATTGAGAAACACAGCAAGAATTCACTGGGAAATGAACTAAGACTGAGCATGCCCACCCCCCCCACCGCTGCCGCTGTACCCACACTCCTTCCCTGAATCTGAATCTGGGCAATGTTGGCTGCTAACCAGGTGGAGGGGATGGGGCACGCTTTGGGAAGCGCTGCTTCAGACCACAGTCCCCGCCACCAGGCCGCACTCAGGATGGGGTGTGAGCAAGAGAAAATCCTTGCCGATTGCATTTTCTTTCTTGCCTTCTGAACTCAGAAGGTCCTGATGCTCAGCTCTGCTCCAACCAGGCCAAGCCTGGGGGAAACCTCCACCAGAGAAGAACAGAAAGAGAAAAGCATCTGTCTACACGGTTTTTTGTCCCCCTTGCAATCTACACGCAGCAGCGTTACCCAGCCACCCCCTCCCCAAACACACACTCTGCCTGCCGTTAGTACATCTCGTAGGGTTTCAGGCCTGTGTCCGTGAGGATATGGGGATGGATTTATTCAGCAGGAACGTGGTTACAGGCAAAGGAGAAGGAGGAGGGGAAAGAAGCAGAACTCTGCCAGGAATTCCTCTTGCAAAGGGAATCTGCCGAAGAAGATAAGGAGAAACGGAGACTCGGAAGGCGGAGTGAGTCCCCCAAGTTGCAAGGAGTTAACAGCAAGGCTGAGCACAAAACCCGGAGAGCCGAGCCGGGGTGCTCTCTGCCTATCTGCACAGCCTCTTACAGCCAGGAGTTCTTCTAATAGCACGCACTAAAAGAAAATACTCCAGAACGCTGAAATTGCCTGAGCACCAGCACCCTTTATAAGGATTTCTGTGCTGCACATTTTCATCTCCTCCACTCGGCAGGAAGGACCACCTTCTTGGTCCAGGTTTCACCCACTCGAACCTAAGCCACCAACACTTGCCTGTAACAAAGCATTTCCAAGCTGGGGTTTTGGAGGGGGGCCTACAGGCTATCTTTGACCACCTCCTCCCTTGCCCCTCCTCAGCCCAGTGGGTATTTTCCGAGCGCAGGCATTTGGTTTGGCCCTCGCCTAGTGTCCACAGGCGTCCTTGACTGATGAAACAGACATGTCTCCAGTGTGATTTGTTTGTTTGTTTCTTTTGCTGTCCCCTAAAGATATCTGTACTGGATTCTTCATGGCCGAGGATCTTAACCTCCTTCGTTTCAGACATGGCACCCAAAACTGCAAGAATCCCTAAGTGCACAGCATCTTGCTTTATGTGGCATTTCCGCGGACATCTATAAAAATCAAATTCAAAGTTTAATTTCCATCTTTGGGACCAGTAAGTATTTTCATCAGAGATTTTTATTTCACTTAGTGATTTTTTTTCTTAGTGCTTTTTCTAAAAAAAAAAATTATTTTGGATGTGAGCGGGTGTGCAAGGGCAAGGGTATGGAATGATGTTTCTTTGATTATCCCACTTAATCAACAACCCCAAGTGTCACCCCAGAGCATCTTACGCATTGCTAAACCATGTGTTAGCAATCGGCAGTTGTTCTGCGAGCCGGGCTAGCATACGTTTTTGGCTTTTGAATTCAATTTCAGCAACCTTGAGGAGGCCCAACATAGCTGGGCAGGAGTTTGAATGGCATTAGCTTAATTTGGATTCTATAGAAGCCCCTCTGTAGAACCCCTCTTCACCCCTCTGTTCCAGGACATCCGTTTGCACGCGCACACCAATCTCTCACTTAGTTGTCGGCCTCTTAGGCCTGGATGGATAAAGCGAAGGGAGCAAACAAGTCCACTGTCTGATTGACCGAAGCGTGTGTCTGCATGAAAAAGCCTGGGCATTTTTACATGATGAGGGTAATGAAGCCGGCAAGGTTTCTGCCGAGCCCTGGCTTTTAATTAGTCAGTGACGCTTGATAAATTGCTCACCTCTTGGGCTGTATCTTCACATCCTCAGACATCTGGAGGGAAACTGGAAAGGAAACGTCCTGCTCATTCCAAAGAGCCAGATGTGTGCCATCACGCAGAAGGAATGTCCAGATGCCGGACGTCTCCACTGTATTCCTCCAAGCGAGCCTTTCCTGTAGTCTTTTGGAAAGTCAGATGAAGAACTTCTTTTTTTTTTTTTTTTTTTTTTTTTTTTTAACGTTTATTTATCTTTGAGAAAGAGAGACAGACAGTGAGTGGGGGAGGAGCAGAGAGAAAAGGAGACACAGGATCAGAAGCAGGCTCTAGGCCCTGAGCTCTCAGCACAGAGCCCAACGCAGGGCTCGAACCCATGGGCCACGAGATCATGACCCGAGCCAAAGTCGGAGGCTCAACCGACTGAGCCACCCAGGTGTCCCTAGATGAAGAACTTCTAACTGAGACTTTCTGCACTTCAAACCCTTTAGCAGAGATAGGGACATAAGTGAATAAACTCATTTTATTAATGAGACTAAGGAATTCTCTCTTTTTCAAATTAGAATTCTGTGTTTAAATGGACTTCATTACATACATGGAGTGTGTAATAACCTGAGTGTGTGTGTGTGTGTGTGTGTGTGTGTGTTGGTTAGAGCAGGGATTTTGAAATAAGGCTACCAGTCACTATTACCTGAAAAGGTTTCTAGAAACACAGATCCCTGTTCCAAACTGGATCTGTTGAACTAAAGAACTGTATCTGTTGAAATTCCAATTTTGGAATTCAGAAATCAGTATTTTTTAAATGCACCCAGTTGGTTGTGGCATCGGAGCAGAGTGGCATTTGGGAACCAGAAAGTGAGGAAATGGAAGCTTAGTCACAGAGCTGGGTAAGTGGTGAGGCTGAACATCCAAGATCCCAGGCTAAAGGCTTGGTTCTCGTTCAATTACAGGCTCCTGCCTGGCCAAGGCAGACGTCATTCCCAGAACACTTCCCCTCAGCTCTGAAGTCTCCAGTTGATTAGAGCTGAATCGGGAGATTAATCTATCCTCTGATCTAGCCCAACCTGTTTGTTTTACAGATGAATAAACTTTGACCTAAAGAGAATAAGTGACTCTTCTGGGAACACCCAGATGAGAACTTAAATTTCCTGATTTTGTCAGAGTTCTTTAAAAAGCACCACCTTTCTGGTTTAGTAACTAGCTCTCCCCATGACTTAAACATTAAAAAGTCCCCCTGGAAAGATAGCCACATTTAGTGGTGCTCAATTAATTTCCTAAAAGTTCCAGGTTTAAGGATCTCTGCAACTAAGACCTTCTAGAATCCCATAGTGCACCTGGGCTTTGTGTTTGTTTGGTTGTTTGTTTGTTTGGGGGTCTAGATAAGAAATATTTCCAAATTTATCTCAGAAGTCTGCTTTTGTGATCCCAGCTCCATGAGCATTTCTTTAGGGGGTGAAAAGTTTTCAAATGATTACCTCGTGGCACTTGGAGACTCCAGACACATGTTTCGACAGTTTTCCCTGAGGCTCCCAACTCACATGTTGCTTACTGCTAAACTGTGAGTTAATATGACTGCTTGAGATTTAGACCTCAACAACCCGCCCACTGACATACTCTGGAAGCTTCCTCTCTCCATCCCACACACAAGATTTTACTGTTGACACTATTACATAACTTACCTCAAACTCAGATTGCCAAGACGGGTGCATGGGGCTCCTACTGTCTTCTGAAGTGTAAGCCGTGAATATGTCTGGATTCACAATTGCCTCTCAGCCTAAACGTGTACATTGAAGGTTCAGGTCACTGAAGTGGAAACTTCACGCTGAAGACTTCTACTGAGATGTGTTTCGGTGTGTGCCTGCAGGGCGGCAAAGGTGGCGAAGGCAGACGGGTCAATGACCTGGTTCCTGCTGTGCTTCCCTGACAATGGCCAGATTTGTCCTCATTTCTTCAAGGATTTGGGGACTTTCTCCTTCCCTTCCAAGCTCGAGGCACCAACAATTCTTATTTATTAGAGAAACAACACCTCATACAATTATGGGAAAACCAGGGAAATAAGGCTCCAAGAGAGGGATTCTTTAACTGGAACTGGAGAGGGATGGCACCAATGGACGAGTCAGCACTTGCCAGAGTTGCTGGGACCAGGCATGCCCATCTCCCAAGAGAAGAGCCCGTGGAGAAGGCTGTGGAAGGCAGGTCTCGCTCACTGGTGGCCAGCAGGGCCAGCTGTCAGGAAGGTGACTTGGATGTGGAGTGGGGCACAGCAAAGATAGTGTGGGCCCCACCAACAACGGTCTGACGGACTCTCGCTGAGGAGCAGAAAGAACAGCCCGGAATCCACTCGTGTCTCTACATTTGTCTCTCAACACATCTAACCACAGCTATCTTCAGAAAGTAATGGCTGCTGCTTTCTTTCCACCTTTCAAACATCACACGATTTCTCTTTGAGTGTGTCTAACTCACATCCACACAATGACCCTTGGGAACATGTTTCCAGTTTAGCCAAGTTAACACCGCACAAAACCACCACAGGCCACCCTTTTTCAATGAGACATCCATATATACCTTTTGAAATCATTGTCTAAGCTTGTTTATTTTGACAGAGAGAGAGAGAGAACACAAGAAGGGGAGGGACAGAGAGGGGGAGAGAGAGAATGTCAAGCAGGCTCCATGCTGTCAGTGCAGAGCCTAACACGGGGCTCAATCTCACAAACCAGGAGATCCTAACCTGAGCCAAAATCAAGAGTTGGCCACCTAACAGACTGAGCCACCAGGCACCCCTTAGATCATGTTTAATTCCCAAGCAAGGATGATAACAAAACTATGTTTTCGCCCAAAATGATGCAACTACCATCACATGACCAAAGACAGACAAAGTCTCTCCCTAAAGCAGCATACAAAATCCTATTTGTTACTTCGTCCACCTTTGGAGGACCACGTCATGCAATCTTTTATAAGGTAAGACTGAAGTTTTTTCCTCTCATTAACCTGGTCATAACGAATCCCCAGTGATGCCATATGTGGATGCTGAGAAAGAAGAGGCAATAAAACAGGACTGGGAGCCATGAGTATCTGAGCCATTTGTTTGTATAATTTACATGTGGCTTATCACAAGACTGATACTGTACATGTTACATCCAACTGATGACAGAAAGCTGTGCCTGCCCAACTTTATGACTTGGTCTGTCAGAAAACACTCAGTTCATGATGGACAGTATGGATTCCGTGGTTAAGTGTTCAGTCTCTGCTCTATAAAGACATAGAGACTGAGTCTTGTAATGAGCCAAAATCTATTTTTCAAATGAAGAGCCATCTGCAGAACGGCATGGCTATGCTCCAAAATCCTAAAGAGCTTCTCTCTGATTCATTCACAAGGAGCTGCCAAAGTTTCAGGATAGCATCCATGTGTCAGAGACATGAAGCGTCATAAAATATCCTTTATCGCAAAGTCAACCTGGCAACCCAGCTTGCCAAGCCATCTACCACAGAGCCTTCTTTTGTTGGGGGACCCACTCAGAACTGGTACCTTGTGGAGTCTTTCAATGGATGATGCAGATGACATGACCAAATGAAGTGCATGCTGTCTTCAACATCCAAAAAGACCCACTAGACTTGTGTCTTCTCCTTAGTGGAGGAAGTGCAAGATATGGAGAATTCTCTTTCAGCGTGTTTTGGCGCCTAGAAAGTCTCCCTGAGCTAAAGCTCCTAAATTTCTATGGGATCCATTTCCACCCTCAGTTACACATATGTCTCACCGAAGTGTCTAGGTCAGTGTCCCCCAACTTACTTCTCGCTCACTAGGTCCAATCAGCATATCATCAATGGCCATCAGTATAATAGATCAGTATGATGTCCCATGGGATAGAGCAAGAGCCCTGTGGATTAGATTATGACAGAGGACTAGAGACGAGTTTGTTTCAGTGAAGGTACATTGTTAGCCCTGCCAGCTAAGCGCACGCTGCTTCTGATAACCTTCACTAACATGTATAGAGGGGAAGAGGCATCTGCAAAATCTTGGTAGCTGCATGTCAGATGCTAGAAGATGTGAAAAATGTACACATGTGGAATAACAATTGTCACTGGAGTCACCACGTGACTGAATGCACAATGACCCACCGTTGGCTCCTAAAATCCATCTGTCGTCTGCGTAAGCCAAACAGGAAAGTTAAATGAAAACACTGTCGAATTTGCTAACTTTGACTTTCAAGTCCTTAATAGTAGCACTAACCCCTGCAGTCCCTCCAGGAATGCCGTAATGCTTCTGTGGCAGTTCTAGAATCTTCCACTTGGCCTTTCCCTCCATAACAGCCCTTAGGTCATCCCATGGGTCAGGAAACCAATGTGGGGATTCTGCCAGTTACTGAGTATGTCTTTTCCAATTATGTAGCCCAGAACTGGAGATATAAGCATAGAATGGGTTCAGAGATACACTTGGCCCACTGTGAAATGGACCTGAGTCAAAATCCTGTTAATCGCTTGACCGTAACAATCCCCTGCTCTGGCTGATGGGCCATAGCCTTTTGAGTCCCTAAGAGGTAGTATCATTTCACAGCCAGTATCTAACAATTCTCTCAAAGTCTCACTCGTTCCCCTTCCTCAACATGCAATCACCTGCAAAATGGCTGCACGTCCCTCTGGAGAAGGCCAAGGACATCTACAGTATGCACCTGTGGCTGTGCTTTAGGGTCAACCTCACTGCCGATGAGCAGTCACAGCCACACCTCCATTTGCTCTGAGAAGCCAAAAGGTGGGCACACTCCTCAGAGTGATGGACTCTTCTCCAAACATGTCTTCTTATCCACCAAGGGCATCTTCCACTACGTGTCTGGACAGTCTTTCACCCCTACAGTGTCGCTTATTGGGGAGACTAAGTCTCTGCAGCTACCCAGAAAGAAAAAGGCTGCCTAGCCTCTGCTCCCCTCTTGGGGGAACATGAGCCCCTAATGAGATTCTTTGCTTATAAATCCGTTAGCACCTTGGTTAAAAAAAGAAGAAGAAAAAGAAAGGCCCTAAAGTCAGGTATTACAAATCCCCTCTGTATTCATTTCCTTCATTTCCTAGGGCTGCTGGAATTACCAGCAACCTAGGTGGCTTAAAATGACAGAAATTTATTTTCTCACAATCCTAGAGGCTAGAAGCTAGAAATCAAAATGTCAGCCAGGCCATTCTCCCTCTGAAAGCTCTAGGGTAAGGATCCTTCCTTGCTTCTCCAGCCTATGGTGACCTCAGGCATTCTCTGCTCATGG